AAGTTGCTTTAATAAATCTTGTGCCTGTTTCTCTATATTTCAAATGGAAAAAATTTGTCTCAGATATCTGGTCACAGTGACCAAGCTCCTTTTTAAACACATTATCCATTTTAGATAATCCAGCACTCATACTCAGATATGTAAAAGGGCAACATGTACTAGAGATGTGTGAAATTTATATGTGACTGAAGAGCTTATAGTGAATTAAGTCTTAAAATAGTTACGTTGGGTTAGTCATGTGTCATTAAGATGATGAAGAGGACAAGCATCCTTTCAATATTTAAATGTACTTTGGAAGCCAATGCTTCCCATGGTTGCAATATTTCACCAGCTTCTATTTCCAGTGTCCCTTAAGTAATTTGCCCTGTACACTTTCTGCTTTACTGGTGGAGAAGTTGATTTTAAAGTTTGGAGTCTTTGGAGAAAGGTGAGGTGAAATGTTAAATAATGCTCTTTTAATATAGTAGTTTTCAACTTTTTGTTTAACCCAGAATTGTGGTGAATGTTTACAGCTCTGTTTTCCATTTGCTATTATTTAGTCCTTACTATGGTAGTGTTCAAGACCAGTTTTGTCTGTTTGCTGATGACAGCTTAAGGTGTTTGCCCTTTCAAAAAATATTTCCATTTACTTTAAGATATAGATGAATGAATCTCTGATGGTGGAATGCCCCAGGGCAGATTATTTTGGACAAGATTTGGCCTATGGCCCTTCAAATTATTACATATAGGTGACTACTTAATCTACCTGGTTATATGGCTTATGTTCCAGGCAGGTATTAAACAAATCAGAGAAAATCAAGAGACCAACTTCTACTTGGGCTTGTTAGAGTTATAGTGATATTTGGTACCATAATCCTGTGTGTGTGGGGGGGAAACTTCCTTGCTATCCTCTGTGCAACTGCATATTGGCTATATCATTTTTTAGTTAATCTGAACCACTTGCCTATATCCATAGGAAAAAAAAAACCAGTCAGCTTAACAAACATTTATCCAGTGCCTACTATGTAACAGACACTGTGCTAAAATCTGGAGATACAAAGAAAGGCAAAAATAATCTCTGTCCTCAAGGCACTCTCAATCTATCAAGGGATACAAAAATGCAAACAGTTATGTGAAAGCAAGCTATATACAGGATAAACTGGAGATTATCATGGGGAAGGCACTTATATTAACTAGAATCAGGAAAGACTTCTTGCAGAAGGTGGAATTTTTAGCTGAGACTTGTGCACCAAATGAATATTTGTATATTATACCAGGAGTTCTTAACATGAGGTCTGTGAACTTGTTTTCAAAAACAACAACAACAACCACTATTTTGAAAACATATCAATATAATTGGTTTTCTTTGTATTCTTATACATTTAAAAACAATAATCTGACGAGCCTATAAACTTGACCATGCTGCTAAAAGGTATGCTTGATGCAAAAAAAGTTAGGAAACTTGGACTCCACTAAATATTGAATAAGAATAAAAAGGACTATAAATGTTTAGAATTAGAATTTATAGTCTTTATGTAGTTAATTTTCTGGATTAGAGGCTTGGTAATACATTAAAGAAAAATTATCATGACACTGTATTTAGGGAAACATGTTAACTAGAAGAACTAAATTCTACCTTTTACTACTTCTTCTTGCCTCTGTATTACCTCTGTCACCCTGCTTTATTCTGGTTAGGGCAGCTGGGTGGCATTGTGGATGGAGCCCTGCCTGTAGTCAGAAAGACCTAAATTCAAATCCATTGTCAGACATTTACTAGCTGTGTGACCCTGGGCAAGTCACTTAACCCTGTTTGCCTCAGTTTCTTCATCTGTAAAATGAACTGGAGAAGGAAATGGCAAATTGTTCTAATATCTTTGCCAAGAAAACCCCAAATGGGATCATGAAAAGTTATATGCTAAAGATGACTGAATAACAACATATTCTAATTGAGACACTGCCAACATTATCCCTTACTTGGATTCTTGTCAAAGTACACATATAGAGAAGTGGAAGTTTCTATCATCTTTGTACTCAAAATCACAGAAAGAATGCCCCCATAGAGAAGGAATAGGCTAATATGAGGGGGATAATCAAGTAGTTTCAGGGCCTGCCTTTTGTGTTTTGAGTATAATTTTGTAATCCTAGATAGACACTGTATAATAACAATGTCTGTGCCTGAACAGTGAATATCGGAGCAGGTTAGGTATCTGGTTAGACTAATCCTTTTATATTTTGCCTTATTATGTTCACCATTCCCAGCTACCCTTTCCGCCTGGTTTATTTACATGGAGTTTTTAGATATAGGGCCTGCTTTGACAGCTAAGACTGGGGTATTAGGTTAGGAGCACTGAATAGCATAAAAAATTCGCTAATGGTTAACCAGTCAGGCCTAGTCAGTTTGAGGAAAGTGGAATTAGGACTATGCTCCATAAACAAGCTTGCTGGAGATCTCGAGCATAAGGTTCTAACTAAAACTGTAAGCCTTAAATTCCCTGCCTCGTGTAATAGGAGCCAGGCCTAAGAGAGTGGGCCCATAGATTGCTGACTAATTCAGCTTTTGTTTATTCTTGTGGTGACTCTTGAAGCTAGCTGAGGCTTTGGGAGAGTCTAGTCCTCTGGGCTCCTTGGGATAATATAATGTCCTAATCCATCTTTTACCTGTGTATGTTTGTGTGAATGGATAGTTGAGATTTTTGGATTATAGCAAACAATTTCCCATGCAAAGAAATTAGATGGTGACTTGCACATTAGAATGAATTACAATCCCTCCCAATTAACCTATGCATATTTTAATTCTTCATACTTAGTAAAACAACAACTCTTTTTTAAAAGAGAAAAAGAAGGAAAGTCTGATATAGGAGTTGATTCCTGAGATGAACTTTGAAGAAAGCTAGGGATTCCAAGAGGCAGACGTGAGGAAAGAGTACAATCCAAGGAACTGGAAAATGGAGTGGTAGGAAGGGCAAGTGCTGAGTCACTGAGATGGAAGGTAGAACTTTGTGGCCTATAGAGCCAAATCAAATTGCTTTGAAATAGTCATTCATATAACAAGCTATACCAGGATTTAGAATATGATCACCTAACTTTTTATTCTGGCTCTTTCCCTCCTTTCTTCTTTGGTTTGGTGATTAAAAAAAAGTTTCATCTTCTCCAACTATGAAACAAGGATATTAAGCTCTTTCTCATCTTCAAGTTAGGGGCCATGGATCCTCAGTAAATCGCGGGTTCTATTTCTCTTTGTGCCTAATTCAGAACTTGCAGTAAATTTAGACATTTAGGCACCTCTTTTGATATGTAGAGTAGAGTCTAGTTTCCCCCGGGTGTTCGTCTGTGGCTTTAACCTGGGGCAGATTGAACAGGAACTTTCCACAAATCCAAGTATATATCCAAACAAGGTGTCACTAAAAACAATAACTACTATTTACATGGTACTTTAAGGCTTCCAAAGCACTTTAAATATATCTTATTTAATACTCACAACAACCCTATAAGGTAGGTGCTATTATTTTCCTCATGTTACCTATAAGGAAATAGACTCAGAGCTAATGACTAGGGTCACACAGCTAGTAAGCCAATCATTTATTCAATCAAGAAATATTTATTAATTTACCTACTATGTCCCATGTGTTGGGACATGTGCTGGGGATTCAAGAAAGATGAATGATAATCCTTGCTCTCATGGAATTCCCAATCTAATGGAGAGACAAAATGCCAACAATTATGTACAACCTTGGTGAAAAATAAGTTGAAATCATTGACAGAAGGAAGCCATTAGCATTAAGAGGCATCCAGAAAGGCTTATTATAGAAGGTAGGATTTTAGCTGAGACTTGAAGGTGGTGATGAGGATGGAGAGTAGCATTCTGGGGATGGGGCTTTGAGGCATGAGCAAACTTAGGTCTGCCTGACTCCAAGTCCAGCATTTCACACATTGTACTTCTGATATTTAGCTGCCTCTAAGCAATGCCTCCTCACTTAGGCAGTCATGAAAAAATGACCATGACTGGTAACGAAGAAGGACAACAGTCTAGAAATACATATGTATAGAATTCTTCACAACATCTTCCTTAGCAAGACTACACTTTGCAGAGGAGTTTTGCCTTAGAACAATAAGCTGGAAAATCCATTGAAATACTTAGCTGAAGGCTGATTTTCCCTTTGAGAGTACTAAGCCTGTGCTGAAAGCAGGCTTTCTCCCACTCTTTGCCTAGTAATGAAGATTGTAAGTGCTGTTATGGGCCACAGTAGGGAGAATAAAGTTTAATAATGATATATTAACTTTTAAGACTCTGATTCATTACTGTAATATCTTCTTTTTTCTCTTCCTTTATTTTCACCTCATAAGCATTTCTCCACTGTCATCATAGAGAAATAGCAGGTTTGAAATCACTAGGGATGTTATTGACACCTCCCACACAGCTGAAAAGAGGTGAAGATTTTGTCTGCAATTTTTAAAGAACCTGCCGTTGCTGCCTTCTGTACAGCCACAATGTATTTCACGCCACAGGTAGACCAGGAACAAGAAATTGTCGAAGCACCATGGAATTTTCCCAAAGGCCTTATTACACAGCAATTTCTTGACCAGTAACAGAAGGAATGTTGTATTGTAGAGGCTTTTCTATCCATATACATCTAGAGTCCTCTATTTATTCAGTTCCTTTTACAGCACAGGTAACTTGCAGTTGCTTGCGAATCAAAGACTTGATGATTCATAGCAGAACTGGGGCTGCTTGGAGAGAACTGGATCCTGCAGTATGTTTTCATGCAATATGCTTTTGTATCTTTCTTACCCATTATCATGACAGAATTCCTCTCAGATTGACTGAATAAAGAATGGAATACTCAGAAAAGATCAGATCGATCTATAGGTTGCCAAAAGAATAATATGACCTCCTCATATGAATAAGCTTCATAGTATGATTAAGATATTATTAACACTCTAGGGAAGATTTCTCATGAATCATTCTACAGGAATGTGACCTACAATCAACATGTCACAATCTTACCAGTCAATACACGCTTAGTCATGCTGGAACGATTTTGGTCATTAATCTTTAAATTTCTAGCTCTTACTTTGCTTCTAGATGCATTTTCATTTCTCTCCTAATTTTTATATAATTAAGATCACCTAGCATACTTATGCTGATTATCAATATGTATTTTGGGATACTCGACAAACTTTCTGAGCTGCCTGTCTATGCCTCCGCCTTTGGTAAGTACCACAGACCTATGTCCTACTATATTTTTTTGAGCTCAGGTTCTATTAATGTTCTATGAATAAATAACTTTTGGCTATGTAGTCTTCTACAGTTGTTTTTCAGTTGAGTGATCCTATTTGGGATGTTCTTGGCAAAGATACTGGAGTGGTCAATTCCTTCTCCAGCTCATTTTACAGTTGAGGAAATTGAGGCAAACAGGGTTAAGTAACTTGCCCAGGGTCACACACTGTGTTTCTGCCTTTCTTAGTATCCCTAGTGTTTAGTATAGTACTTGGCACATAACATGTTCTTGATAAATATTTGTGAATTTGCTGCTGAGGCTGATGATTTACAGCCAGGAGAAGGACCAAGAATAACTTTATAAGCTAATTAAGAATTTCAGGGAAAAGGATAATTATAGATATTGATCCTTGGTAGTGGGTCTTGCCACTCTTGCCAATGCAGATTAGTGTGCTTAGTATCTGTCAAATTCAGAGCTATTAGTGTGAGAGAATTGTTTTTGTTAGAAGCCGCCTTATACCAATGACTCACTTTGAACTTATGTTCAGCTAGAAAGTTTTTCACATGAAGAGGTATCAAGTTAAGCTTCTTTAGTCTTGTATTTATAGAGTATAATTGTTTTTTCTTAACTCATATGTAAATCTTTACATTTTATTATTAAATTCCATCCTGTTGGTTTCGACCTGATGGGCTGGCATTAGAATAATTTTGAAATGTGAATCTTTCAAATTCCTTACAGCTTTGTAGGCTATACATCCAAAAATTTGATGTATTTTTGGTTTGGGCATGTGATTTCACCATATGTAAGATGTGAAAGAGAGGTGGCATGGCATAATGAATAGAAGACTGACTTTGGAGTCAAGAAGAGCTGGTTTCAAATCTTGCCTCTTATACTTACTGGCTGTGTGATCCTGGGTAAGGCACTTAACCTCTGCAGGGAGCTCTCTAAGAGTTTAAGTAATGGGTGAGTTGTTCTATAGTAGTGAAGAAAGTTTTCACACTTTGTATTCCCTACCTTGAATAATTAGAGGTTTGGACCAAAAGGAATAAAAAAAGATGTAGCAGATCGCTCCACTAATGCAGGTCAGTAATTTTTCTGTAGTGGACAGGTAGTTTGATATGGTAGCTACAGTGGTAGCCCTCTGGAGTAAGAAAGACCTAGGTTCAGTTTCTGTCTTTATCACTTAACCTCTCAGTGACCTAGGAAAGAAGTAAGGAAAGAAGAAACATTTATTAAAACCTACTATTTTCTAGGCAGGGGTAGGGAACCTGTGACCTCAAGGCCACATATGGCCCTCTAGGTCCTCAAGTTTGGATTCAGTCAAAGGGGTGCACTTGAGGACCTAGAAAGCCACATGTGGCCTCGAGACCACAAGTTCCCCACCCTTGTTAGGCAGTGTGCTAAGTGCTTTATGAATATTTCCTCTTTTGGTCCTCATAACAACCCTGTAAGGTAGGTGCTATTATTATCTCCATTTTATAGTTGAGGAAACTGAGACAAACAGATATTAAGTGACTTACCCAAGGTCACACAACTTGTAAATATCTGAGGCTGAATCTCAACTCAGTTCTTCCTGACTCTAGGCCCAGTGCTGTATCCTTAATGTCACCTAGATACCCAAGGCAACTAAAACAAATGTGATGTGTGTCTTTCACATCTCCCAATTCTTTGAAAAAAAAATGTTGTGACTAGAGTACAGCTCTGTGTCTCTCTCTAGAACTTTCTCTCCAGGTTAATATCAACCTTTAATCACCTCCAAAGTCATCTGACTAGATAATCACCCAGTGCCAACTTATTCATCTTATTCAGGAAACTACCTTGAGACTTTATCAGTTTCCATGCTGAATTGATAATAACTTATGTCTATAGCTGTCTATGATTTATTAGCCTTGTAACAGTAACAATACCATTTTACCTACATTTTTTTCTGCTCTTTTTAGCTTTAATTTATTTTTTTTAACTTATAAGTGTTAAATAAAAATAAAGAAAATATCTCTCCCTTCCACCCCTCCCTTGGAAAAAACAAAACAAAAGCCTTCTATCAAATATCCATAATCAAGTAAAACAAATCCCCATGTTGGCTATGTAAAAAAAAAAAAGAATATGTCTCATTCTTATCTTGAGTTCATCACTTCTCTGTTAGGAGGTAGGTAGCATCATTTATCATCAGTCTCTGGAATCGTTATTGGTTATTGCAATCAGTGGTCAAAGATCAGTCTTTCAAAGTTGTTTGCGTTTACAGTGTTGTTCATAATGCTATTTTAGTGGGAAAATGGTCTTAAGAAATTAAAGTGATGAGTGAAAATGATATAAATAATGTCAATGAGCATGTAATACAATTCAAATTGTGTTTATGTGTATGGATGATGAAATACAATATTGTTTTGCTTTCTTTTTATTAATGATTTCGAATACAAAAACCGAATTCAAATTAAAAATACTTTAAATTTGAATATTGAAATCTTGAATCATTTTTGTTTAATGTGGGAGATTTAATTTTTGGTAGGTTTTATTTCTTTATAGCGGTATGATGGGGAATGACAATATATTACTGGAACCAGAAACCCATGAAAAGTGGCACCACAATTTGCTTTTATGATGAGATATTAAAATTAAGAGTTAATAATGGAATGACTAGAATAGAAGTTGTCAATATGCTTTGGAAGATTTTGCTTCATAGCAGATCAGTCATTACATTTTATGTGCATGGCAAAATAGAACTTCATGTCAAGTTTCAGCTTTTTGGTACTTTCATACAGCAGCCATTCAAAGTAAAATGTCTCCTCTGATAAGATGATGAATTTAGACAGCATGATTACATCATTCATTGTCTACCTGGAGATGTCAAAAGTAAATGCCAAGCCATTTTCAGAAGATAAATGCTGTGAGGTGTTCAGAGCCAGCATAATGCCATGGATACAAAATGAAAACTACTCAAGGAGCCTGTCTCTCCCTAATCTATTTTACAGACTCCTCTCAATGCCTTTGTGTGATAGTGGGGAAAGAATGTTTCTGTCCCCCTTTCCCGCCCAGGTCACAGGAGTAGCATTCCTATACACAGACATTCCCTTAATCATAAAGCCCTCCAGTGAATTTTGAGCTCAGAAAACTTCTTCCCCTCCCCTCTTTTTTTTTTACTGTTAGTATAATGTGTTGACAGACAGCAAATAAACATTCATTAAAGAATCAGATGAAAGAAGAAAATTAGAATAGGAGAAAAGAAGTAGACTCTCTTTACAATGTCCCCATGGATATTAAAGTGATAATTTCCAGGAATTTAAAAAGTAAGATTGTTAAAGGGTCTCAATTACATCTTAGAGTAACAAAGCACCATTATAATTTTTTAATGTAAAATGATAATGAAACTTTCAATATATACATTTGCTATATATTGTCCATATTTATCATCTTATTGATATATACCAATGTGTATAAACTATACATATATATATATACACACACATATATGTTTTTATATATATATATGTATATTCCAAATCATCTTTTTTAATACAAATTTATTTATTTTTAGCTTTCAACATTCACTCCCACAAGTTTTTGAATTCCAAATTTATACCCCATCTCCCCCTCCTCCCACTCCAAGATGGCATGCATTCTGAATATCCCTTCCCCTAGTGTGTCCTCTCTTCTATCTCTCTCCCCTTCTCTTATCCCCTTCCCCATCTATTTTCCTGTAGGGCAGGATAGACTTCTGTACGCCATTTCCTGTATTTCTTATTTCCCAGTAGCATGTGAAAACATTTTTTTTAAACATATGTTTTTAAAACTTTAGGTTTCAAATTTTCTCTCTTCCTCCCTCCCCACCCACCCTCATTGAAAAGGCAAGCAACTCAATATAGGTTGTACATGTGCAGTTATGCAAAACACATCCACAGTAGACATGTTGTGAAAAACTAACTCTATTTCCCTTAATCCTATCCTGCCCTCCCCCTGTCCCTCCTCAGAAGTATTTACTTCTGATTACTCCCTTTCCCAATCTGCCCTCCTCTCTATCATCCCCCTGCTCTCTTGTTTCCTTCTCCCCCTATTTTCCTGTAGGGTAAGACAGATTTCCATACCCAATTGAATGTGTATGTTATTCCCTCCTTAAGCCAAATCCTATGAGAATAAGATTCACTCATTCCTCTCACCTTCCCCTGTTTCCCCTCCACTGTAAGAGACTTTTCTTTCCTGTTTTTTTTGTGAGAAAAATTACCCCATTCTACCTCTCCCTTTCTTCTTCTCTGAGTATAATCTCATCCCTTAATTTCATTCTCCAGATATGACCCCTTCATCTTCAACTCACCCTGTGCCCTCTATCTATCTATCTACATATACATACATATAATTTTTTTCCTCCAACTACCCTAATACTGACAAAGGTCTCATGAGTTATAAATATCATCTTTCCATGCAGGAATGTAAACAGTTCAATCTTAATAAATCTCTTATGATTTCTCTTTGCTGTTTACCTCTTCATGTTCCACTTGAGTCCTGTATTTGAAAGTCAAATTTTCTATTCAGCTCTGGTCTTTTCATCAAGAATGCTTGAAAGTCCTCTATTTCACTGAATGACCATTTTTCCTCCTGAAGGATTATACTCAGTTTTGCTGGGTAGGTGATTCTTGGTTGTAATCCTATCTCCTTTGCCCTGGAATATTATATTCCATGCCCTGCGGTCCTTTAATGTAGAAGCTGCTAAATCTTGTGTTATCCTGATTGTGTTTCCACAGTACTTGAACTGTTTCCTTCTGGCAGCTTGTAATATTTTCTCCTTGACCTGGGAACTCTGGAATTTGGCTACAATATTCCTAGGAGTTTTCCTTTGGGGATCTCTTTCAGGAGGAGATCTGTGGATTCTTTCAATTTCTATTTTGCCCTCTGGTTCTAAATATCAGGGCAGTTTTCCTTGATAATTTCTTGAAAGATGATGTCTAGGCTTTTTTTGATCATGGCTTTCAGATAGTCCAATAATTTTTAAATTCTCTCTCC